TATAACAAGCTAGTTGAGACACTAGAAATTTGTGGATGGGTCCGACAGGTCCGAGAACCGACCAGGGGAATAATATACTTGATTCATCGTTTACAATCAAAATAGACTCTATCTCAGTGCATATCCGTCATGAGTTTTTTATGAACTATCATAGAGTTGTATTGAATATTATTTATTCTTTAAACACCATACAACTGAACTTTAACGCTTCAATAACGTACCAGTGCAGACATTATGATCAACAAACCTGGGAACGAACTGAGACTCTTATTCAATGCTTACCATGGGAAACTTATTTTGCCACAAATAATATTGACACTGAGCTTTCAAATCTATGCCACAACCTGATATATTGCCTTGACTGCATTGCTCCAATTATTGGCCATGTGGCTTATAATGCTAATAGAAGCCAGAATACTTTTAAAACTTTTAGAAGAAAGCTGAGGAAGTTAAAACACCGCTACGGCGAGCATAATGACGTGTATGCAATTCAGAACTATGGAAAAAATCATCCACAGACAACTATTATCATTTTTACTTTCGGCTAGTCTGATTAGCTCATCCCAACACGGGTTTATGACTAAACGCTCATGCTTCACATCGCACCTGGAATGTTTTGATCAAATTACCCAGAGAAGAGATGTTGGTCAGTCAGTGATAATTATTTACTCCGATTTTAGCAAGGCTTTCGACAGTGTCTCACACAAAATTCTTCTTCTAAAACTCTCTTCATCTGGCATACAGAATACCATTTTATCTTGTCTCACATCCTTCTTAGAATAACGTAGTCGAATTGTTTGCTTTGAATTTTGCTACTCTAAACCTGTGAATGTAACTAATAAGGTTATACAAGGAAATGTGATTGGTCCATTACTCTTTCTCCTTTTTACCAATGACGTTTGTTCCCTCTTTCAATATAGTAAACCTTTCCTTTTTGTCGATGACCTAAAAGTAGTTTATTCATTCTATTCTCCCACCAAAGAAAGCTATATTTCGGCGGTAATCCAAGAAGAAATAAACAAGTTGTACGAATGGACTGTTTCGTGGAATTTGCCACTTAATGTTGAAAAAAGTCGATTTATTCACATTGGCCGCTGTTTTAACCTAAACCTGGCTGTACACAAACATACACTTAAACCTCTCAACACTGTTCATGACTTGAGTTTAAGATATAACAACGGTTCGAAGTTTTCTGAGCACATTGTATCTCAAGTATCCAGAGCTAGAAAGCTCATCGGATTCATGATGATAAACTTAAATAATATAGAATCGAGATTATTAGTATGCAGAAAATGCATCTTACTCATTCTTGAATATGGTATTTTAGTTTACAGTAATTGCAGGCATAATGATCTGATTAAGATTGAAGGTTGACCAAAGCTGTTTTGGGGTGTTCCGACAACAAGGATTATCAACAAAGATGTCAACAAATTAAATTAGGATCTCTCTGGATCAGGCGTATCAAATTAAACCTTGTCTTTATCTACCGGCTTATAAACGGTATTCCCTACTCTTTGGTATCCACCCCTTCATACTCTATGATATCATCCCACAATCTGCACAGTAAGGAGAATGTTCTAGCGATTCCAAGAACCTATACAAACTTACGCCAGAATATTCGCTATTCAACCGTGTGAAACAGACTGCCAGTGAACCTCCGTTGCAGTGAAACTGTAGTGGCATTGGACAATAGCCACACAATCCTCAAAGCTGAACACGAGACTACTCGGAAAATAGATATTCAATAGTTAACGCCAAGAAATACTTAACGATGGAGAAGGCGCGAACAAGGAATTGAATGAATTGGAGTTGATCGAGTGGCATGGCTCGGCCATGCAGGCGTGGTCCCTCTGAATGTTATCTTATGTCTTCTATTCATATTAAATATATTGTTCCTTCTCTAGCCTAACCTTGTTCTATATCATGTATTGGTAATTGATACGATACAGTGATTTGGTGTAGACGATGACGTGACTTCCACGTAAGATCTTATGGATTAGGCAGTTATATAATGACAAATCTACAATTTTAGGAATAGGTCTATTATTAGAGTAGTACTAATATCATAGTAGACGATAATTCTACAAAACTACAACCCGGTTCAGAAGTCTCCTTGATGATTTTCTTTATGGAAGTGGATTATGTCGCCTATTGAATATCAATGTGTCTAACGACGATTTATACAAACAAGGTCCGTCATCCATCTAATTGACTGAAAGCAAAGTGTAGCCTTTTGAACTTTCAACGTCTATTTTGTTCTTATTTTTATTCATCTTAATATGTGAAGTCTGCTTGTGTTCGTATTTATAATTATTACTGTTATTAATATTATTATTAGTCCCTCAAAACATTAAGTATTCTTTTTATCTCTTCTTGTCCTTCTAAACATATTACAAGGTTTTTATTTAAGACAATAACTTGTGTTACACCTTAAATTAACATCTCAGACTCGTTTTATCTTCACTATGCATAAATGACTCATACATATTGATATTTCATTATCCTTTTCACATAATTGAGACTTTCATAGCATCACTCCAAACTATGACTGCACAAACATTTATTCTAGCGTCATATCTTACTGCAATAATAAGTTAATTTTTCATAATTATTTTCTAATTTGTTTTCGTTACTAATTTGACGATACATACATAGTCGTTCATTTTTGTTCTGTGTTCATAAACACTCCTATTAAGCGCTTCCTTTATTTCTATTCCCTTATTTTCTCCCTTTACTTCTTGAAACTCAATTCAATATTCTTCTCAATCACACAGAACCTGATTTATTATTATTCTATTATTATTATTCTCTTTTTCAAATGTGGCAAATATAATGCTAATATTATTGAAACTTGTGTATTATTGCGTTTTTGATGAAAACCAATGTGGTTTCTTCACAACACTTATGTAACCATAAGATGTTTGTGAATAGTAATAGTGGTAATAACAATAATAATGATAATGATAATAACAACCAACCCGCATCTATTAATCGTATGCCATGGACTGGGGCATGCGGTGGTTGTCTCGCTATCTTCTCTGTACTCATTCTTACCAATACACTTTCATAATAACATCCTTTGTGTTGTATGGTCTCTATAGCAGCTATAGTACTTTGAAACGATGAAGGGCTCATCCATGTTGGATGCTGACCGCGAGGTGTGACTTCAAAGTTATCTGATTCGTCATATCATTCCTGTCTAAATCGATGACGTTCCTAATCATTCAGCATAGGTCATCTACTTTGATATTCTACAGTCTCAATACTGTCATGGTTAAATAAAGGGCTGGTCAATAAACAAATGAAGGAATACCTCGAAAACAACATCACACTCCCTAAAGTCCAACAGGGTTTCAGAAAAATCAGGTCATTTGCGTTCGATCTCCTCATATTATGGGACAGCTGGACGGTCTTTTGGGACCACAAGATAACTATTTATGTATTATTTCTCAACTTTGCAGAAGCCTCTGACACAATACCTCACGTACTTCTCATAGAGGAGGCCGCAAAGATGGGTTTCACTGACCCACTATTGTTTTGGTTCCAAAACTACCTAAGGAACAAGATATTTCGTACCAAGTTAAATAGAGTATATGCGAATGAGAAGGTCCCAACAGCAGGAGTTTCGCAAAAGTCATGTCCTGTTTTTAATCTTTGTTGGCGACCTACTAGATAAAATAAGCTTGGCGTCACTATTCTATAAGAACGATACAAGTTCTGGAAGTCCATGAAAAGCGAAAAGCATTCGCTTGAACTTCAGAAGAACGTTGCAGTAATCGAGAAATGAACAGTAGACAATGGGTTAGAACGTAAACTTTAGAAATGTCATGTAAACAACTTGGCACAATCGCACCAGAAATATTGTTGCCCCCTCTCTTCGGAAGCGATTTAAATGTCCTGGACGAGGTACAGTGGCTGATGAAGCTATACAAGAAGTCTAAGACGGACAGACTCCTACACCTAGGATTATTCTCTTTAAGCCATAGGACAATAAGAGGTGATCTCATAATGGCATTAAACGTATAGAAAAGGCAAACCACTCTAGTGAGAGCTTATTACCATAACATCGTCAACATGCTACTCGAGGCGACCCTCGAAGGATTAAATATAAAAGAGCGAACATCCAGATTCAGTTTCACGTTTTCTTACTATGAGTTGCTCCTGAAGATGGCACAGGTATTCAGTGTTTGACAACGCTTTTACCAGTAACACCTTCTAATATAACTCGTACCCACCAAGAGAAATCAAAAGACAAAATCAAGGAGATCAGAAATTGTATTTGACGATTTCCAATATATCGGAATTATCTGATCTAATCTGGCTAGCGATTGCAGTAGCAGTTGAGCACGGCGTTCCCACACGTGATCTGGTACGGATGCATGACCGAGAGCCTTCAGCTAGGTGAGTCCACTAAAACTAATCTGGTCAGCATCCAATGTCGAAAACTTACAGAGCTATTTATTTTGGGGATTTATTTACCGCCACACCTCCCTTTAGAATTCTCTTCCAACCTAAGTGACCGCAACCACCTCAGTGTATAGCTTGAAGAGGAGACTTGAAAAGCAAGTGGATTAACATATTCCGTTTAGCCTTCCATATTGTCTGCATTACCAACTACAGAACTTATTTGTTTACTTTTCGAAACAGTGGTCTTCGCCTAGCATTCGAATTTTATCTTTATTGTTTTTCACACTGTGAGCAACCGGCCTCCTGTCTGGTAATTTGATGACTACTTGTATCCATAAATTCTGCTGTTTCGAGACAAGCGCACTCACTCAGACTACCATATATATATATATATATATATATATATATATATATATAAACCCTCGAATAGCTACCGAAATAACTAGAATTAGAAGAGTCAAGTAGCTAGACAGCCGTCCATTTGACACTACCAAAGATTCTGAATTATACTGAAACAATAAGGAACGAAGTCAAAGGAATCGATCGGCTTATTCGAGCCCGCCACAAGGATATTGGATACTGAAAAGACCTTTATGCCATTGAACCATTTAGGTTGTTTTAGGCGCCCAAGGCGTATGCGACCTGTAAAATGCCTTTTTACGGTGTTCGAGTCGGTCGTGGCATCGGCGTCTTCTCGAGTTGGTGAGTCCCATTAAGTTTTTAACTAAGAAGTAATTGGGTCCGAGTGCCAAGACCTTGTAAAGGGCTACTCTGGAGCTTGCTTTAAGAAATTTACTTCCTACGATGAAGCTATAAAGTTTATTGGTAGTTTCAATTTCTCCCCGTTACAAAATTTACTAGAAGCTGGACATAAGGTCGGAACCGTACTCTCGAAAAAGCGAAGGATTGAAAGCATGAATGACGACCTGGATGGTCGAGGTATGGCGTTTAATTGCTACACATTGAGACAGAAGATCCATTACCGACCAAGTTATCTCCTGAAGAGCATTACATCAGTAGCAACCATGTTCCAAGCACTCTGACATTTTATCATGGTAATCTTTTATTAGTATTTAGGCCAACAGAGATCTAATTATCCAATGCATGCTAACATTTCAGCTTTTAATCTGTCACATCTATCCCCAAGACTACGTGTATTTAGTTAATGCCTCATCCATTCTTTCAAGATGAACTGATTCTCACATGGATTTTAACCCTTATGTATCTACCACTGGGGAATTGATTTGTAAACTCTTTATATATTTTGTGTATTTAAAAGCATAATAAGTGCTGATTTTAAGAACGTCAAAACTAGTTCCTCATACCTTGCAGTCCCAACCATTAAATATCAATAGTATTAAATAGTGATACATGTTAATGATTCCTGGTTGTTACTCTAATATCTGCGACTTGAAATTCCAGACTGAGAAGAATGTTCGTGCGTCGATTTATCTAGACAACGAAAAGCCATGTATTTCAAGGATTTTATAAACTAACGGTTCAGTATTAGTAACACTAAATAGTAAATGCCGAAATATACTTAAATGGTTAGTTATTGTCCGGGCTTTGCAAAAAAAGTACGAATAAAGTGAGGATAATATATCGTTTGACCTGTGTTAATCCTTCATGTGAACATAACTATGAAAGCCTAAGTCTTGAACTTACTAGTTAAGCCGATACTAATTGCTCAGATAGTGTTTTTCTGTCTTCGGGTGCTCTGTGGGGACAACGGGGCCGCGCTGCGTTCGTCGGATTGGTTTGGTGACGGCCTCAGCGATATATAGGTTCAGATTCAGATTTGTATATTAAGGACAGATAGCCTACGGCCTATGTTATTCCTTTTTACTACGCTTCCATAAGTGTCTGGTCTCCTCTTGAATGGGTCGATTGAAGGTGCGGACACCACTGCTTCGCGTAACAGGTTCCAAGAATTGATGACTTGGCGTCAAAACCTGTATGCCACGGGTATTTTGTTCGTTCTTGGCTTTTCTACTCTCCTGCTATGTCATCTTAGATGTCCCAATCTAGTGGAAAGAAAACGAAGATAAGAAAGAGTAAAGAGGTCTAACTTTTCAAGCCGTTCTTTGTATGGTAAACCCCGGAGTTCCGGAGTCGCACGGGTAGCTACCCTCTGTACTTTTTCCGGGATATCCGAGTCACCTTTTAAACAGAGGCTTGCAGCCTGAACGCAGTTTTCAAGCTTAGTTTTCACTAGGATTTTGTATACTGTAGTAAACATGGCAGTATCTAACTTGGTGAATGCCCATCTTAAAGCCCATAGGGTTCTAAACCCTTTAGCTGCAACCTCGCAGCATTGGCCCGTGGTCCTAAGATCATGACTCACTGTCACCCCAAGATCCTTGTGAGACCGAACCACCAGTACAGGCACTTCTCCTATGCTGTACCTATTTACCTTTGTATCCCGAAAGTGCATGTAGACATACTTTGCTGTGTTGATAGGCACCATCCACTCTTTAGACCAGGTAGTCACAATATCTAAGTCTGCCTGAGGTGCGCATGCATCGGCGTCACCTGTTATTTCTCGCCAGATTTTTACATCATCAGCGTATAGTAACATTGGGGACTCAAGTATACTTGGGGCGTCATTTACATACAGTATGAATAGTAAAGGACCTAGGACAGAAACTTCCAGTATTCCACTAAGTACTGGTCTCCAGTTGGAGCACTTGGGATTCACTCCTACTTTCTGTCTACGACCTACCAGGAAATCCTTAATCCAATATAGGAGAGGTCCGGCAATTCAAAGGTTTTCCAGCTTGAAGAGCAGTCTATCTGTTGGCACCTTATAAAATGCTTTGCTGAAGTCTATGTAGACAACATCCACTGATTTTCCATTGTCTAGAACCTTTATCGATTGCTCCCTTGCTATAAGGAGGTTTGTTGTGCAAGATGAACCTTTTCTGAAACCATGTTGTTCGCTGTTTAACAAGTTGTTGGTTTTCACGAATGTCATTATGGTCTTTTTGACTATTCTTCCCATTAACTACGACAATAGTGAGGCTGACAGATCTGTAGTTCGATGGAAGTTGTCTTGGTCTTGTTTTATGTATTTGAATGACGATTGCATCCTTCCAGTTCGTAGGTAAAACATCTTGGTCAAGTGACGTATTGAATATTACAGTTAGTGAGGCTGCAATATATTATTCAATTTGTCTCAGGATTTCGGGTTGTAGTTCATCCGGTCCTGTTGACTTTTCCATGTCTGAGGTACTAAGAACCTTAAGTACATCATTTCGATCAAAGCACACAGTGAACAGACAGTTTGTTGACTTTCTATTTGGGTCTAGTTCTTCGTCTAGAAGACTAGTAAATGTAGTAAGATGTTATAACACGCTAGCGCCATTATAATGATATAAAATCTCAAACTAAATGTTAAATGGTCTTAAACTCAACCTCATCACCTGCTTTGATTTGGAGATTAATTGGTGTTATTAGCCTCAGGTAGTATGTGGATTGGGTTCAGTGCTTAAATTTGCATGTGTTTTGTGGTTTGTACAATTTACACCAAAGACTAAGGTTGGAATTCCTTCGTATCTTCCTGACGATGTACGTTCTTATATAGTAGATTGACCCTCTGTATTTAATACATTACTCTCATTAAAGTAGACGTAGTGTAGTTCTGATCTTTGTGAGTCGGATTTTGTAGCTTCAGTTGGTAGAATATTAGTTTTAGTTCTGTTGTTCTGCTGTCAATAGTAAATCTTTCAGCGTGGAATAAATTAGGGCTGTAATGTTCATAACTAGACACAACAATATAGCTTCTTAAATTGTTGGATCAAAAACGCGTAGTTATCTGCAGACACAAAATCAGTTAATAATTTGACATACTCAACCATGCTGGAGAATTGCACAACATTCAAAACCGGAAATTGTTACGAAAACTTTTGGTTAATCATAGTTTGTTCTTATTGTTATTCAAACGAATGAACATCGATACAAAGAGGCACCAAAATATGTATGCGCTTCCAAAGTCATTGCATTTGTGTCGAGTGGGGTACTGCCCGGATGCCCAAATCGAAGCCAATGGTTTTTCTCCCGACCGTTGCTGCTACCTTGACGTGGTGGTTGGGCTTGCCCATCGTAATGAACCAATCGAGCTATACTGGCTGGAATAATTGTTCCTCAAGGTCCTACCTTACCAGACAGGCCGGTTGAAGAACGACAAAACTGAAAGCAGCAAACCCAAGGGCGAAGTCATACTGCTGCATGTACAGAGGCATGATGGTAGCATGATGTTTCCTTCAGACACCCAGTATAACAGCGATGTTGCCTTCCCACAAGGAAGGGTAGGGTTGGAAAAGGTTGATCCTAAAAGCGCACACCTCACCTTACCCCACGGATTTTCATCTCCGGCGGTGAGGTTCCGACAAGTACGGAGCTAACACTAACACTACTCGAATAGGTCGTGTGTAACCGGCCTCAAGCAGTTGTCCGTTGGGCACTGCGGTCACACTATTAGGTTACTAAGACCCTCTCTAACCGAACTCGCTTTTCAGGTACCTCTAGAAGAACCGTTCCACAGTGTGGGCAACCGGGGAGTGATAACCACCTTCATATCTCTTACCGCACTGAAGATCACAGGTGGTTTTCTTAGAGGGTCACTACCCGAGCTTCTGACCTAGAAGTCTAATCCTCAAAGTGATGGAGCAGCGTTATGAGATGTGGTCCTATGGTAGTCGGTGACCAACCATAGGTTCATGTGTCATCTCAAGTTTCGGCGTATGTGGAAATCTATCAGTACCATTTGACTCCATTGTTAACCTCAATCAACGGTTTGATATTATATTAACTGATACACCCCTGTCGTATTCCGTAATGTAGCCGTCAAATATGACTAGTAAAGTCAAACATGGTGCTATGGGCATCTAATCAACAATCCTTATCAATTAGTTTAGATATCATGAAACTATCAAGTAAGCAGCTTTGGGTAAACAAGACATTATGTAATAAGTTAGCTCCTGTCGATTAAGAGTGGTTATAAATACTTACTTAGGGGACGAACCATGAAAAATATAATGGGTGTTGAATTAAAACAGCGCTATCATACAAAGCCACACTCATAGTGTAGATCTTATAGTCATGCGCTGTTTAGTCGGTTGCAGAACTATTTTCCTTCATACTTCAAACATTCAATACGCTGTTACTCTATTCTTGTTCCGCGATTTTGTGTACATTTTCTCTTATTGGCGGTTCCGTGTTACTGTTAGTATTGTTTTCAGTTACTGGGTTTTCTTATAGTTGATTTCGCATTCTCCATGTCTCCTTGCATATCTGTACAGTCCGTCTTTCTGTTATGGTTATATCTTGGAAAAATATCTCTACTCAATTAACCTGACTTGATGCATCTAGAAAGCCAGCCAGTAATAGTCTGGTATAATCGTACCTAACTCACCATAATGTTATTATTTTCTTAAACATGGTACTTATTTATTTATTTTAACACATAGATATTGGTACAAGAAGGCACCAAATACATACGCGCCAAACAAATCTCATTTGATTTGTGTGAGGGCTGTGATACTGCCCGGGTGCCCAAACCGAAGCAGGTGGTTTTCTTAGAGGGCCATACCCCGAGCCTTCGACCTAGAGGTCTGATCCACAAGGCAGTGGAGCATCGTAAGGAGATGCAGTCTCATGGTAGCCGGTAACCAACAAATGGTTCATACGCCATTTGTTCCTTCAGGATTATTTATTTATTTGTTTATTTGAACACATGAATATTGGTACAAGAGAGCGCCAATATATATGCGCCACACAAAACAATGAGAATTCCAAGAGAAATAGGAAAAAAACTAAGGAGCGCAAAAGAAAAAGAGAACAATAACGAAGAGATTGGTGTAAGGTAGTGTGGTAGTAACGAGGGAACGAAAGGTACAATCAGAAGAAATCTTTCAGGTAAGGGAGACACAACCACTTTTTATGAAGAAAGTAAAAGAAGGTTACAGCAGGATCGCCACTGGCTTCTATTCTGAGCCATATCTGATAACGTCTCTAGCCACTGTGTAGCACCATCTCTCAGACCCCAACCAGGGAGTCGTGAAGGACCAACAGAAGCCAGTCCTTTGCAGCTTTCTTTCATACCACGACACCATGTCATGCACTGACCACCTCTCCGCCTCTTCCAACCAGTCCCAGAGTCGGCAAATAATGCACGACGTGGAATTCTCTGGGACGACATTCGTAGAACATGTCCAAGCCACCGAAGTCGGTGTTTCAAGATGGTGACACCAATTGCATTATTGTCTCTGTGCCCGAACACACGATGCCGAACCTCTGCATTACTGACATGGTGTTGCCACTGGATGTCAGCAATCCTTCGGAGACAACGATGATCGAACACAGAGAGTCGTCTAACGTCCTCAACTCGGAGAGACCAGGTTTCACAAGCATAGAGCAAAACTGCTCTCACCGACGCGTTGTAGATCCGACCTTTTACAGCCAGACTAACATCACGAAGGCGCCAAAGATGGCCCAGATTGGCATAAGCCGCTCTGGCTTTCACTATACGTGCATTGATCTCATCACTCACGCCACCACCAGCACTTATGCAGCTACCCAGATACACGAACTTCTCGACTACTTCTATCTGCTCACCATCCAGGGTGAGTACAGGATTAGAATCCTGCCAGTCTTGTAGAAGTACTTTGCACTTCGAAGGTGCAAAGCACATACCATACCTACGGACACTGATTGCCAACTGATTAAGTGCGGATTGCATGGCTTGGGCATTATCGCACAGTAAGACAATATCGTCCGCATACTCAAGGTCGAGAAGTCTTTCTCCAGGCAACAGATCCAAACCACCATTACTTACATTCATCAGAGCTGTTTCCAGAATGTCATCGATGGCAAAGTTGAAGAGGAATGGTGAGATTGGGCAACCCTGCCTAACCCCACTGCTCGAATGGAACAATGGAGAGAGGTGGTTGTATGCCCTCACTCTGCCTGAGGTGTTTGTATATAGGGCTTTTAGGATGTTAATAAACTTCTCAGGCACACCCTTCTTCAATAGACAATCCCAGAGAACAGTCCTGTCCAACGAATCGAAGGCAGCCCTGATGTCAAGAAACACTACGATTGTTGGCCTTTGATAAGTATGGCGGTGTTGGTGGAGGGTGAAGATATGATCAATACATCCTCGACCAGAACGAAACCCAGCCTGCTCCTCGCGAGTCAATCTTTCTCGGGTTTTGAACAACCTACGAAGTATGACGGAAGCCAATAGCTTGGACGCAATCGGAAGTAGACTTATCCCCCGATAGTTGTTACAGGAACAACGAGAACCCTTTTTAAAGATAGGGACAACTATCGACTCATTCCATGACGTTGGTACACCCTCTAGCTCCCAGACCCTTGTAAACAACGTCGTCAGTTCCTTAGTCAGAAAGTCGGATGAGTTGGAAGAGCTTCCGGTAGTTACCAGATGCAGCTGCTGCTTCCAGCTCCTTAGCACGCTTCGACCACCAGGCTTCTCGGTCCTTACGCAAGCTTTGCCCGATTTCATTACGTAACATCATTCGTTTGTGGTCAAACTCACGGTCACCCGGAGTAGACGGACGGGCTTCAATGAGTTGTAAGGAACCAGAAGAAACCCAGTGCTTAAAAGCGGGACGTTTCGCAAACCCACAACTGACTGTTCCCGCCATTTTCATGGCGTCATGCAATTGCAACCAATGCTCATCTATACTTTTCGGTGGAGTGGTAGCCAGCCTAGAAGCTAGCTCGGTTCGATACTTACTTGCAACAGGAGTTGCACCAATCCGTCGGTGGTGGTCACTTCGTTGGCTACTGAAAAGTAAGGCAAGATTGGCGCAGACCAAGGCATGGTCAGAGTCCAGATAGGTACTCCAAAAGGAGCGGCAGTCTTGTACACAACCACGCCAGCGGTAGCTGATCGCGATGTGATCAATCTGAGTCCAGGCTTGAGATGCAGAGGGAGGACGCCAGGTGGCACATCGGCGATGACTGTGCCGAAAGTTAGTGCTAGCCAGAAACAGGTTGTGGTCTGTGCACAGTTGCAGTAGACGGTCCCCGTTATCTGACCTGCGACCAACAAGTTCCCATCGGCCACCTAAACGACTCTCTTCTGTGCCTAGACGCCCGACCTGAGCATTCAAGTCTCCGCCTAGTACTACAATATCTGTCGAACGCACTTTCTGGAGAAGAACAGATAACTGGTGGTAAAACTCATCCTTGATTGCATCCGGGCTGCAATCTGTCGGGGCATAGGCGGAGATGACGAAAAGACATCGTTTCTCACGCCGATTTCTTCTCACTTTGATGGAACTTTCTAATCTAACAGCACATAACCGACTGTTAATGGGGATCCAATCGACTAGTGCTGCCTCAGCTCTAGCGCTTAGTGCGACACCAACGCCAGCAAGACCAGACGAAGATGCCACAGGGTCCCCGGATAAGCGCACGTAAAACAAGCTTTTCGAAGCGACAGATGGAGATCGAATTTGTAGTACTTCGCCAGAGTCTTGAATACGGGTCTCGGATAGACAACAACGTCGATATTAAGACTTTCCAAAGACATAGCCAGCCCTATCTGTTGTCCGACCTGCATAAATGTGCGAACGTTGAAGGCAGCCAGTTTGAATGGTGCACGTGGTTTCAGAAAAACTGCTTCAGTATTCGTATTCGGTGGTAACATACAATTTTCAACCGGACAGTGACTCGAGAACGTTTAGATACAGTCGAATTTCCACCAAAGACGAGCCGCTGTATAAGTATAAAAGAGGGTGAATAATGTGGAAAATAATAATAATAATAATAATAATAATAATAATAATGACAATAATAGTAATAATAATAGTATCAATAATTGTAATGATAATAATTTGAATCAATTGATTGTTTTTCAAAGCGAGAAAAGTAATTTCCATAGACATAAAGAGTTCATCATTTGTGTGTGGGCTGTGATACTGCCCGGGTGCCCAAACCGAAGCAGGTGGTTATCTTAGGGGGCCACACCCCGAGCCTTTGACCTAAAGGTCTAACCCACAAGGCAGTGGAGCATCGTAAGGAGATGCAATCCCATGGTAGCCGGTGACCAACGATTGGTTCATACGCCATTTGTTCCCGCAGGATACTGGAGCCCATGTGCACCATTGGTTTGTGATCCGGTTAAAGCGCCGGACATTCGCTTTTCGTCCTCTCATTTTCGTAAACAACACCCCCACCACGTGTAGTAAGCAAGTTAATGGGAATCTATATCAACTTACTGACATTGTTAAGTAGTTAAACCTATTTGTGGTTTCACGATTGATATCCTTTTCCTCTCTGTCTCTTAACCAGATGCATCATGCCCGCGACGTGTGATGGTCTATACTGATGGTTCATGTAACGGTGCACATGATGAACGTCGTGCTGGTTATGGTGTTTACTGGGGGCCCAATCATCCATGGTAAGCATCGAATTGGCTCTTATCATTCCAAGGAATGTCTCTGAGCGTTTGGAAGGAGAGCAAACAAATAATAGAGCAGAAATTGAGGTAAACTTTTATTTTGATAATAATTGCTTCTAAATATCGACCACACTTATTTAAAAAGCTTCCTGTAACTAGCTTATTATTAATACTGATATGTAATAAAAGATGTTACCTTGAGCTTCAGGCCGTCAAACGTCTTCTCATAGTAAAAGAAGTTGATGTATAGTGACGAATTCCATTCAATCGATTGTTGAACGACGATCCGTAGTGTCGCAACCTGGTCTGTGCACGAACGATTCTTACGGAATCCAGCTTGTTGATCTCGAAGTTAGACGTCTACTGTATCTTCCACTCGGTTCAACAACACTCTGTCGAAAACTTTTCCTGGTACCGATAGTAGTGTGAAGCCTGTGTTTCTAACACTTGCTGAGATCCGCTTTCTTTGGTATCTCGATGAGATTTCCTTCTTTTCAGTCTGTCGTCACTTGTTCTTCCTCCCAAATCTTTATGAATAGAATGCGGAGCATGTTTGCAGTTACCTCTATGTCTGACTTCGATGCTTCAGGTGGTATATTTTCAGAGCGTGCTGTTTTCCCACTCTTGATTTGTCTGATGGCCATGTTGATTTCCTCGACCGTTGTGGAATGACATCTATGGGAAGGTCTGTGTGTTTTGCCTCGATGTCTGGTGAGTTCAGTGAGACTGATCTTTTCACGAGTTCTTCAAAGTGTTCTACCCATCTGTTCCTCTGTTCCTGAATCTCAGTGATTGGCATGCCTTCTTTGTCCTTGACCGGTCTCTCTGCTTTACCATATTTCCCTGCCAGTTTCTTCGTTGCATCATATGGTTGTCTCATATTTCCTTCTCTTGCAGCTTTTCCCCTCTGTCATTGCTAAGTCTTGCACATATTTCCATTCGTCGGCTCTAATGTCCTTCTTCACTTGCTTGTTTACTTTTGTGTATTCGGTCCGTGCCTTGACTCTTTCTGTTCTTGTTCGGCTGTTGTTATTTGCTGTCTTCTTGTTCTTCCTTTCTTGAATCCTGTTCAAGGGTTCAATAGAGATTCATTCCTTATGATGATGCATTTTGCGGTCCAGCACCTCCTGACACGTTGAAGTTAGTTATTCCTTGTTTTTTCCCCAGTTCTTCTCCATAGTAGTTTCTTCCAGTAGATCCTGTAAGGCTTGGTAGCTGTTGTTAAGAGTTATCCTGAATTCGTTGAGTTTGTCAGTATATCGAAGAAAGACTGTACTGAACCCTTGTAATGCTGTTTCCCCAGCTGTCCATTGCTTCTTTAGCTTCAGTTTTATTGTAGCAGCCACGACTAGGTGGTGATCTAAAGCTATGCCAGCTCCTCTCCTGGTTCTCACGTTTCCCATTGACCTTCTGAAATTTTTATTGATGCAAAGATGATCGACCTGATTCTCTGTAGTGTGATCCGGTGAGAGCCATGTAGCTTTGCATTTGTGGGGGAATGTTGTGCCGCCTATAACCTCTTTGTTGGATGCACATAAATTTGCAAATATGTCACCATTCTCGTTCCTTTCTCGCAGTCCATGTCGCCTCATAAGACTGATCGTCTTCATTGTTATCATTGGTGGGTGGATAACACTAGATAGTGTTGATTGTGATTCCCTTCTTCTTTATTTTGAAAGATGCTTTGATGATCCCGGATCCATCAGACTCCCACCTTTTAAACGCTTTTCGTGCTTCTTTGGAGAGCATCAGTTCAACTCACTGCGTGTGCGAAGTACTTACTTCTTCATGACCAGAGCACAACAGCATCTCTCCTGAATCCAATTTTTTTTGTTCAGTTTGGGTCCAATGGGTTTCGCTGATTCCGAGCACCGTTGAGTTGTATCTCCTGATTTCCGTAGCCATTTGATTAATCCTCCCGGGAACTACAGCAACCCTAGAAGAGCTACAGGTGTAGTTGCATACAAAAGTTAGACACCTAAATTGTTCCTCTGGAAATAAGCTCAATTTAAAAGTTTTGCATTGGTTACTAACAAATGTCAGTCAGTCAGTCAGTCAGTCAGTCAGTCAGGTACAACGTAGGACCAGGAACATATATGCATCGGTCCAAGTTGCCATACATCAATAACTCAACAAGATGGACACCGGATTCATATAAGTAGTTAATTCAGAGGTGGTAATCTATAAAAGAAAGATATGAAGCGATTTTGTTCTCTTTTAGTTTAAGGGAAGACAGACAGTGTATACACCGATGTCATTGTGGTCGATTCTGAGCCATGTCACCAAGAGTCTCCAACCATTGGTTACGATAGTCACGCTGACCCCAACCAAGTAGTCTGCATCTACCAACATGGCTCAGACTAGAAGTTAGTGACTTCAAGCACTGATGCCACGTTTTGGTTTGGCCACCCCTAACTTTCTTCCAACCATCCCGAACACCGGTTAGCATTGCACGTCGTAGTAATCGGTGTTCAGGCATACGTAACATGTGGCCCAACCATCTCAGTCGATGAAGATTCACAACCTCATCAACTGATTTACCATCATTCTCTAATATTCTGCGTCTAACCTCACTATTACTTATCCGGTGATCCCAGCAGATGCCAGCAATATTTCTAAGGTATCTGTGTTCAAATACTAGTAGCTTACGAGTGTCTTCTACTCTTAATGGCCATGTTTCACTGCCGTAAATTAAAACAGAACGGACTAACAAAGGTAGCATATGAAACAAATTCTTCTTCAGGTCTTTCATCAATTCTAAGAAAATTATATCGCAAGTTAAATAAAGAAGTTTGAGTAGTGAAAATCTCTGTTAATTTTTGCACATTAGGATCAAAAGAAAAATGTTGGGCTTTTTTGGCAAGATAAGATTTGAATATCTTTTATGTTCAGTTACTCCAAGTTTCTGAAGTAGATTTCTCACCTTCGAAGTGTTACCATGATGTGTAAAATCATTTTGAAAAATGTCTTGATATCTCCTGAACCATGATTGAAATGTGATGCAGAATTATGTGATAATAAAGAAAGATATGAATTGAGGATAAACGACAATGATGTAATGAAATTTCAGAAAGAGTTGAAATAATGAATGACTCAATAAAAAGGATGTAACGTTACCGGGGTAAAGAAAGATTTTTTACTTCTTCTTTTTGGATAAATAGATCTGGTTTTAGACTTTTGTCGATATCGCTTCGGCAGATTTTGGAAGATTGGAGTTTGATTGTTTGTTAATCACCTTGAAGGACTTCAGTGTATCGGCCTGATGTCATGTTTCAAGATGTCTTGAGATTGCACTGCTGAATGCTTCTAATTCATTTGACTTCGGATTTTTCAGAATATGTTCTTTGAATCGGACGTAGACTCTCCTTCCTGTTGTACCAATGTAACTGCTTTGGAAGATACATGTGATTTTGTATACATAGTTGGTGGTAATATGAAAGGGATACCTATCGACCTTTGTGCTAAAGAACATGTTGTTTTGGATAGGACAATCGGTTAAGCTGCCGGATAAGTTCTTGTCGATTCAGTTTTTAGCCTCACACTGATTGACCCTGTCACATCATCACCTTTGAATTGAAGTTGAATAAAAATAGGTTTTTTTGTTTACTGTAGTTTCTTTGGGTCTTTTATCTTCATGTTTTGTATATTTCTCAATGAATTTCAGGGGTATCCGTTGTTTCTTAACTACTTATTAACATTCATTCTTTCCTATTCTAGCGTATCGGCAGAACATAGTGTTTTAACAAGTGCCTTTTTGTAACTGATTGGACAAAAGCTATTGAAATAGAGATAAATCTCATTCCATGTGTCTTTCCTATAAACTGGACGTTGAACTGTGCCATCCTTCCTTCGTTTTATTGCGATATCGAGAAAATGGAACTTGTTTTCATTTTTATGTTCCATGGTAAACTAGATATTTTTATGGGCTCCATTGAAAAGTTTCCACAGATTTGTTGCATGTTGTTGATTATTACAGACGATGAAGGTGTCCTCAACATACCTCAAATAATACACCACTTCGTCAATCGCGGGGGCGGCCAAACCAAAACGTGTCATCAGTGCTTGGAGTCACTAACTTCCAGTCTGAGCCATGTTGGTAGATGCAGACTACTTGGTTGGGGTCCGCGTGACTTGAAACGTCATCAGTTGAGATGGCTGGGACACGTGTTACGTGTTCCCAACCACCGACTGCCCCGCCGAGCGATGTTTTATGGTGTAGAAGTAGGCTGGAAGAAAGCTAGGGGCGGCCAGACCAAAACATGGCACAAGTCCATGAAGTCACTGACAAGTAGACTGAGTCATGTTGGTAGGTATAGACTACCTGGTTGGGGACCGCGAGATGATAGCAACCGATGGTTAGAGACCTTGAATGACATGGCTCATAATCGTTTGCAATGGCGCAGGTGCATCCACTCTTTGTGTTCTCCCAAATTCTAATCTTGTGAATTCTTCATGTCCTGTTTTCTCTTTCCAAATTTATTTCACTGGACTATACTCCTTGAATAACACCTTCAAACCCTAATGTTTCCGATTGCTGCTTATACTTTTACCATCTCTACGACTATGGGATTTGAATCGACAACTGCATCCTTGTGCTAATGTGTTTTGGCAACTCGAACTGATGTACGTACGAAGTTCTACATTGTTACTGACTGACTTATCTAATGAATAAAGGATGAGTGTACTGTGCAGCAGTTCTCTCCGTTCTGTTGTATAGCTTTTAGAAGTAGGGTTTATTAGTATTCGGTGATAAATGCCCTCACATATATTAAGGCCATCGAACGAGCCATACTGGGATTAGACCCAGAGCACTAGGTGAAGATGGAAAATGAAATAATTTTGACGATTTGTTGCTCAGGTTGATGATTGTGCTGGAGGTTTGTTCTCTTAACTGGATGGTTTAATTGCGGAGCTTTCATAGCTCTTCTGAACAATATCAGTGCGAAACTTCATGTTTAAGTAAGGCATTTCAGATCGACTGGTGAGGTAGTGAATTTTCATCAACTGAGGTGATTGAAACACATGAACAATCACTACCTACTTCGACTCATGATAGTAACCAGTCTTGTTATCTCCCTACATAATATTTCAAGTGTCAATCAAGTTAGAATTAGAGTGTTGGTTATAGTGATTACGTAGTGTAATAATTGAAGTCGAGTTACTTACTTACTTACTGTCGCCTGTTACTCCCAATGGAGCATAGGCCGCCGACCAGCATTCTCCAACTCTGTCCTGGGCCTTCTTTTCTAGTTCCATCCAATTCTTGTTCATTTTTCTCATGTCTATTTCCATTTCTCGGCGTAATGTGTTCTTTGGTCTTCCTCTTTTCCTTTGGCCTTCAGGATTCCATGTGAGGGCTTGTCTTGTGACGCAGTTGGGTGCTTTCCTCAATGTGTGTCCTATCCACTTCCAGCGCTTCTTCCTGATTTCTTCCTCCGCTGGGATCTGGTTTGTTCTCTCCCACAGTACGTTGTTGCTAATAGTGTCCGGCCAACGGATCTGAAGTATTTTGCGTAGACAACTGTTAATAAACACCTGTATTTTCTGGATGATGGCTTTCGTAGTTCTCCAGGTTTCTGCCCCATACAGTAGAACTGTCTTGACATTTGTATTGAAAATCCTGACCTTGGTGTTGGTTGACAGTTGCTTTGAGTTCCAGATGTTCCTCAGTTGTAAATATGCTGCTCTTGCTTTGCCGATCCGCGCCTTCACATCTGCATCAGATCCACCCTGTTCATCAATGATGCTGCCCAAATATGTAAAGGTTTTTACATCTTCCAAATCTTCTCCGTCAATTGGTGCATTCTGTGTTGTATCGGAGAATCCTGCTTTTCCCTTTGTGTATATTGAGACCTACTGCTGCTGAGGCTGCTGCCACACTGTCGTCTTCTCCTGCATCTGTTGTTGCGTTTGGGATAGAAGGGCCAGATCATCTGCGAAGTCTAGATCGTCCAACTGCATCCTAGATGTCCATTGTATCCCGTGCTTCCCTTCAGACGTTGACGTCTTCATGATCCAGTCGATCACCAGGAGAAAGAGAAAGGGTGAGAGTAAGCAACCTTGCCTAACACCGGTCTTCACTTCGAACGACTTTGTCAACTGTCCTCCATGCACGATTTTGCAGTGTAATCCATCATATGAATTCTGTATGATATTGACTATCTTCTGAGGCACGCCGTAGTGTCGAAGAAGTTTCCATAGTGTTGTTCTGTCCACGCTATCAAATGCCTTTTCGTAGTCAATGAAGTTGATGTAGAGTGATGAATTCCATTCAATTGATTGTTCCACAATGATCCGTAGAGTTGCGATTTGGTCTGTACACGATCTATCCTTACGGAATCCTGCCTGTTGGTCACGAAGTTGGGCGTCTACGCAGTCCTTCATCCTGTTTAACAATACCCTGTTGAAGACTTTTCCCGGTATTGAGAGAAGAGTGATGCCCCTGTAGTTATCACAGTTGCTGAGATCGCCTTTCTTCGGTATTTTGATCAGAAGTCCTTCTTTCCAGTCTTTGGTACTTGTTCCTCATCCCAAATCTTATTGAAGAGAATGTGGAGTATCCTTGCAGTTGCCGCTACGTCTGCTTTTAGTGCCTCTGCTGGATGTTGTCCGGTCCTGCTGCTTTGCCACTCTTGATTTGTCTGATGGCCATGCTGATTTCTTCAATTGTTGGTGGGCCAACATTGATTGGGAGGTCCGTGGGTGCTGCTTCGATGTTGGGTGGGTTCAGTGGAGCTGGTCGATTCAAGAGTTCTTTGAAGTGTTCTACCCACCTGTTTTGTTGCTCTTCAATGTTGGTGATTACCTTGCCTTCCTTGCTTTTCACTGGTCGTTCTGGTTTGCGGCGATTTCCAGAGAGTTTCTTTGTCGTGTCATACAATTGTCTCATGTTTCCTTCTCTTGCAGCCTTTTCCGCCGTCGTTGCTAAATCTTCCACATATTTACGTTTGTCGGTTCTGATGCTCCTCTTCACTTGTTTGTTTACTTCTGTGTATTCAGCTTGTGCCTTGGCTTTTTCTGCTCTTGTTCGACTGGTATTGATTGCTGCCTTCTTGTTCCTCCTTTCTTGAATCTTATCCAGTGTATCAACAGTGATCCATTCCTTGTGATGGTGCTTCTTGTGACCCAGGACCTCATGACATGTTGAAGTGATTGCCTCTTTGATCCCCTTCCAGTTGCTCTCCACAGTAGTTCCTTCTCCATTGAGTAGATCATGAAAGGCCTGGAACTTGTTGCTGAGGACTATCTTGAATTTGTTGAGTTTGTTAGTATCCTGAAGAAAGGCCGTATTGAACTTTTGTGATATTGTCCGCCCCGTTGTCCAGTGCTTCTTGAGTTTCAATTTCATCTTGGCGACCAGCAAGTGATGATCTGATGCTATATCAGCTCCTCTCTTGGTTCTCACGTCCTCTATAGTCCTCCTGAACGTTTTGTTGATGCAAATATGGTCGATTTGGTTTTGGTGGTGTGATCCGGTGAAGTCCATGTGGTTTTGTGTATGCGTTTATGTGGGAATATGGTGCCGCCTATGACCAGTTTATTGAAGGCACATAGGTTTGCAAATCTCTCACCATTTTCGTTTCTTTCTCCCAGTCCGTGTCGTCCCATGATGTCTTCATATCCAGTGTTGTCCGTTCCAACCTTGGCGTTGAAATCTCCCATCAGAATGGTCAGGTCCTTTGTTGGGCACTTCTCGACGATTGACTGCAGCCTATTGTAGAATTGATCTTTAGCGTCTTCATTGTAGTCGTTGGTAGGCGCATAGCATTGGATGATGTTCATTGAAATGCCCTCTTTCTTTGTTTTGAACGAGGCTTTGATGATCCTTGGTCCATGAGATTCCCATCCTATAAGCGCATTTTGCGCTTGTTTGGACAGCATCAATGCAACTCCTTGTGTATGTGGTGCATTTTCTTCTTCATGGCCGGAGTATAACAGGAGCTCTCCTGTAGTTAGTCGTTGTTGTCCAACTTGTGTCCAATGTGTTTCACTGATCCCAAGTACCTCTAGGTTGTATCTTCTCATTTCTGCAGCAATTTGGAAGGCTCTCCCGGTGTCCCACATTGTACGAACATTCCATGTACCTAAATAAATGGTCGCTCTGGTTGTCAGAAGGGGCATCGGCCTCGTAACTTCCGAAGGAATTCGGCTTTCATCATGAGGCGTCATAATTCTTCTAAATGAAGACCTTCTGACTCCCAGGGCAGAGTTTAAAAGGTTTGAATAATTTTTTCTGGTTAGCGTTTTTTTAGCGAGTTAGTTTTCTACGGGATGGGGACGCTAACCCCATGCCCAACCCTCCTCCTTTATCCGGGCTTGGGACCGGCAGTAGTCCCCGGAGGGACTTCAGGCGGAGTTAATGCTAAAAGTAGTCAATTAAAAATATACCATCAGTTCATGAATTCGTTGACTGTTGAACTGAGTCGTGTTATTAGGGGCAAACTACCTGGTTGGGATGTGCATGATTATTGTATCTAGTGGTTGGAGATGTTGGGTGACATAGCTAAGAGAACGTTCGCACTAAGATAGATGCATTCACTTTTTGCTTTACTCTACATATCGACTTTTATAATTGTTTTATACATTTTATTCCACTAATTCTTCTCGAATCACATTGCGTATGTCTAGTTTTTTTTCTATTACTGATGTTACTACTTTTGCTGCTCTGCTTTTTGTTTTGGCAGTTTCATGCCGCTTTTGTGATACGGCGTAGCAACGTGAAGTGATCCCCACATGTGCCAAATTCTACGTTGCTTATGAATAACTGACTGACTTATAGCTGTCTTATATTTTTGGTTCATAACCTCAGTCAGTCAGTCAGTCAGTCAAATGCAACATGGAACTGGGACCTGGAACCCATGTACATCGGTTCAAGTTGCCATACTCCATTAGCACAGTGAAATTAAACTTTCAGGACAAATCGCAGAATAGTAGAGGTAGTAACAATATTAATGCTATTAGATCATAACTTAGTTTGTAGTTATATCTGTAGTGCTTACCGAGTTGCATTACTCATATATTTAATGCACATTGACCAAAATAAAAATTTATAATTAGAAAATGCTTTTTTTTAAACTAGGCGGTGATATGTGCAATTAAACAGGCACACATTGGTGGTATTACTCATTTGGGAATAGTTACTGATAGTAAATTCACTCAAAACTGTGCAACAGAATGGGGTCAACGATGGGCGCGAAATGCTTGGAAATTAGCCAATGGTGAAGATGCTAAATTAAAAGAACCAGTTAAACGATTACTTGGAGTTATCGCTGAATCAGGAATTGAAATAATTTGGGTAAATTGTTTTGCTTTTTAGTGTGGATTCGCTTTCTTCCTCTTAACATAATTATGAAGTAATCGTGTTATAGACTATAGCGTTATATCATTTATTGAGTAATATGGATAATCTTGTGTATCATTTATCGTTTACTATCTTTGTCAGTGTTTGTGGGAATAATCAGCATCAACTATTTGATATGTCGGATCGTACTACTGTTGATGTTACCATTATTTATATTTATCCAGTTGATCCCGTCGATTTTTATCTCGTAAAAGTTATTCATGTGATATTTGAAAACAGATAATATGTTTTTAGTGCTTACAGAAAGGCTGTATATGACCAAACTCACGTAGTTTTTATTTGAGCTCTGAGGTTAAGCTCCCAGGTCGTTAAGATCACCTCTAACCCAGTTTCTATGTCAGATACTCATCATGGTATTGATATTGGGGCTTATAGCGCCTCTGTTACACCTTTGTTTACGTTTAGTTTTGCCAAGTCCTTTACTTAATTTAAATAACAGATAGTGCTATTCGAATAGTAACAGTTTGATATCTTGGTATTATTATTATTATTATTATCACGTCTGTGTGAAAGTATATACTTGATCGCATGTGACAGCCTACGTACATATCCCTCTTTCCAGCTTAAATGTTAATTGCTTAAATTGCTCGATGCATCATTCGCTTTCCTACATATATGTGCTAGAATCTTATTAATTCATTCGATTCTTTATTCACCTGAGAATTCACCCGCATTAGCACTTGTGCTCGAATTCACTTGATGTACTTGTGGCTCAATGATCTGTGCTATTCAACTGTAAACTGTGGTCGGCGCTTCGTGTTGCCTTCTTAAATTCGCACACCATTGGAATTTATTTAATAACGGTTATCAGGACGATTGATATGCGAAGCCTAAGGAATTATCTCAAAGATAATCCACTATAGGTTAACGTACATACTTGCCAAGTTCTGTGTTGATGATGATTTACTTATTGATGTATTTGGTGTTTTAAGACAATCAGTTGAAAACACTATGTTCTATGCCTATTGGGACTCATCATCTAGCCGTTCGTACTCCTAAGGAAATCTGTACTTCTCTCGAAATTTGAACTTTGCTTAACAGTCAAATATTTTAAGATTGAGCAGTTCAAGCCAGGAGATATCAAGACATTTTTCAAAATGATTTTACACATCATGGTAACACTTCGAAGGTGAGAAATCTACTTCAGAAACTTGGAGTAACTGAACATAAAAGATATTCAAATCTTATCTTGCCAAAAAAGCCCAACATTTTTCTTTTGATCCTAATGTGCAAAAATTAACAGAGATTTTCACTACTCAAACTTCTTTATTTAACTTGCGATATAATTTTCTTAGAATTGATGAAAGACCTGAAGAAGAATTTGTTTCATATGCTACCTTTGTTAGTCCGTTCTGTTTTAATTTACGGCAGTGAAACATGGCCATTAAGAGTAGAAGACACTCGTAAGCTACTAGTATTTGAACACAGATACCTTAGAAATATTGCTGGCATCTGCTGGGATCACCGGATAAGTAATAGTGAGGTTAGACGCAGAATATTAGAGAATGATGGTAAATCAGTTGATGAGGTTGTGAATCTTCATCGACTGAGATGGTTGGGCCACATGTTACGTATGCCTGAACACCGATTACTACGACGTGCAATGCTAACCGGTGTTCGGGATGGTTGGAAGAAAGTTAGGGGTGGCCAAACCAAAACGTGGCATCAGTGCTTGAAGTCACTAACTTCTAGTCTGAGCCATGTTGGTAGATGCAGACTACTTGGTTGGGGTCAGCGTGACTATCGTAACCAATGGTTGGAGACTCTTGGTGACATGGCTCAGAATCGACCACAATGACATCGGTGTATACACTGTCTGTCTTCCCTTAAACTAAAAGAGAACAAAATCGCTTCATATCTTTCTTTTATAGATTACCACCTCTGAATTAACTACTTATATGAATCCGGTGTCCATCTTGTTGAGTTATTGATGTATGGCAACTTGGACCGATGCATATATGTTCCTGGTCCTACGTTGTACCTGACTGACTGACTGACTGACTGACATTTGTTAGTAACCAATGCAAAACTTTTAAATTGAGCTTATTTCCAGAGGAACAATTTAGGTGTCTAACTTTTGTATGCAACTACACCTGTAGCTCTTCTAGGGTTGCTGTAGTTCCCGGGAGGATTAATCAAATGGCTACGGAAATCAGGAGATACAACTCAACGGTGCTCGGAATCAGCGAAACCCATTGGACCCAAACTGAACAAAAAAAATTGGATTCAGGAGAGATGCTGTTGTGCTCTGGTCATGAAGAAGTAAGTACTTCGCACACGCAGTGAGTTGAACTGATGCTCTCCAAAGAAGCACGAAAAGCGTTTAAAAGGTGGGAGTCTGATGGATCCGGGATCATCAAAGCATCTTTCAAAATAAAGAAGAAGGGAATCACAATCAACACTATCTAGTGTTATCCACCCACCAATGATAACAATGAAGACGATCAGTCTTATGAGGCGACATGGACTGCGAGAAAGGAACGAGAATGGTGACATATTTGCAAATTTATGTGCATCCAACAAAGAGGTTATAGGCGGCACAACATTCCCCCACAAATGCAAAGCTACATGGCTCTCACCGGATCACACTACAGAGAATCAGGTCGATCATCTTTGCATCAATAAAAATTTCAGAAGGTCAATGGGAAACGTGAGAACCAGGAGAGGAGCTGACATAGCTTTAGATCACCACCTAGTCGTGGCTGCTACAATAAAACTGAAGCTAAAGAAGCAATGGACAGCTGGGGAAACAGCATTACAAGGGTTCAGTACAGTCTTTCTTCGATATACTGACAAACTCAACGAATTCAGGATAACTCTTAACAACAGCTACCAAGCCTTACAGGATCTACTTGAAGAAACTACTATGGAGAAGAACTGGGGAAAAAACAAGGAATAACTAACTTCAACGTGTCAGGAGGTGCTGGACCGCAAAATGCATCATCATGAGGAACGTACATCAGTTCGAGTTGCCACAACACATTAGCACAGAGATGCAGTTGTCGATTCAAATCCCATAATCGTAGAGGTAGTAAAAGTATAAGCAGCAATCGGAAACATTAGGGTTTGAAGGTGTTATTCAAGGAGTATAGTCCAGTGAAATAAATTTGGAAAGAGAAAACAGGACATGAAGAATTCACAAGATTAGAATTTGGGAGAACACAAAGAGTGGATGCACCTGCGCCATTGCAAACGATTATGAGCCATGTCATTCAAGGTCTCTAACCATCGGTTGCTATCATCTCGCGGTCCCCAACCAGGTAGTCTATACCTACCAACATGACTCAGTCTACTTGTCAGTGACTTCATGGACTTGTGCCATGTTTTGGTCTGGCCGCCCCTAGCTTTCTTCTAGCCTACTCCTATACCACTGAACATCGCACGTCGAGGCAGTCGGTCGTTGGGCATACGTGACACATGTCCCAGCCATCTCAACTGATGATGTTTCACTACTTCATCAATTGATTTGCTATCCTTACCTAGTGCCCGTTTCCTAACAACTGCATTACTTACTCGATGGTCCCAGGATATACGAGCAATATTTCGAAGGCACGTATAATCAAATACTAGTAACCTACGGATATCCTCTACTCTTACCGGCCATGTTTCACTGCCATAAAGTAGGACGAAACGAACTGCTGCGCAGTAAACACGTCCTTTGGTTGATAGACGGATATCTCACCTACGCCATAAATGACGCAAGTTGGTAAAAGCTAGTCGAGCCTTCTGTATCCGTGCTGAGATTTCGTCACACACCAGACCACAAGGGCTGATGAGACTCCCAAGATAAGTGAAGCGGTCGACACGCTCAACTACTTCACTCCCTATCATTAGTTCGGGTGTCAATGCAACCCAATCCTGAAGCAACATTTTGCATTTCGAGGGGGAGAATCGCATGCCGAACATGCTTGCATTGTTGCTTAGAGTGGTCAGAAGACTCTGCATTTTGTCAGCGTCTTCGCCAAATAAAACTATGTCATCAGCATATTCTAAGTCAACAAGTGAGTCTTCCAGTAAAAGTTCGACTCCTGGGAATTTAGATGAGAAAAGTTTTGTTTCTAAAGGCACGTCAACGACAAAGTTAAAAAAGAATAGAAAGAGTGGACAGCCCTGACGAACACTACTTGAGGTAATCAGTTCTGATGACAGTTCTCCAGGGTTAATGTCCTTCTTTGGTACTCCTTTCAGTGACAAACACTGCCATAGACCCTCACGATCTACAGAGTCAAATGCCGCTTTAGTGTCGAGAAATACTACTATTGTGGGGCGTCTGGATGTGTGTCTATGTTCTAGGACCTGACGTAGTGTGAATATCTTGTATATACAGCTACGTCCAGGTCGAAAACCAGCCTGGTTTTCTCTAGTCTGCTCTTCTCGAGCTTCACTAGGCGTCGAAGTACTATTCAAGCTAATATTTTAGACACTATATTAGTCAGACTGACCCCAGTCTAAAAGGACTAGTTCTGCCCTAGGACTCAACGCTATACCTAAACCAGCGAGGCCACAGAAGGCAGCATCAGGGTTTCTAGGTACACGAAGCGTGAGTCGAGATGGTTCTTTATTTCGATGTGGAGAGGTCAAATGTATGACGCTACTCGCTTCATGTATGCGCGTTTGGGAGACTCAGCACACATCGATGGCGTGAGATTCTAAAGTCCTAGCTAACGAAGCCTGTTGTACTATTTGGCACAGTGTTCGAACGTTAAAAGCGCCTACATGTAGTTTATAGTGTGGTTTCAGGAGACCGGAGGTAATGTTCCGCGTACTCGAATCGTCTGCTTTAGCGGCTCGAGGTGATAAAGGGACGTGAGAAGGGTTAGTTACTGAGATAAGAGAGTTATTAGGGGGTGTAGGAATGATCTGATTGCGACCGATTCGCACTCATGTGCTGTTACGGATGTGAGGGCTGATGCCACTTCTTGGCTGCCCACATCGTGGAAGGGTATTTTTTGAGGAACCTGAAAAGGGAGTTGGATTATTGTTGGTCTTAGCGACTTGGGAGCGTGACCGCAGCGTCCAAGGGACAACCGCTTGAGGCCGGTCGCGCACGGCCCTTTTGTGGGAAGTTTTTAACGTGTTAGCTTCGTTCTTCATGGGCCTTACCGCCGGAGACGGAAATCCGTGAGAAGTGACATTTTTCGAGTCGATCTTTTCTAACCCCTTCCTTCCTTGTGAGAAGGCAGCATCGCCGCAGATGCTGGTTGTTCGAGGGAAACACCTTATTACTGTGATACCCCCCTACAGTCAGCAGTACGACTTCACCCTCAAACCTTGAGTTGCTGCTTTTAGTCTTACCATCCTCCAATCGACCTGTCTGGCATGGTAGAACTTACAGGAACATATGTTCCAGCCAATATAGCTCTGTTGGGTCATCACGATAGTCAAACCCGACCACCACGTCAAGGTAGCCGCAACAGTTTTTAAAACTAAATATCTGAAAAATATAAATGAATATATTTTTATATACATTGACGTAATTTAACAAGTAACCATATGCATTTTATTAGGATTTCATAATTTATCATTAATTCAATAGTTAATCAAATAATCAGATCAACCATAAATTTCTTGCTTGAACTGCTTCAATACGTACATGTTGATTGGGATCATCAGCTAATTGATCTAAGAATGGTAGAATATTGACATCACGATGACGACTAATCAATTGTTCCGGGAATAATTTTATAATGCTGCACAGACAACGAGCGATAATTAAACCTGAATAAGTTAAAATATTGATATTTCGTTCATTTTCCTGATCAAACATTACAGTATCGTTAATCTCCTGACAGTAATCACAACTTTATCCTGCCAACAGTATGTGAAGAGTAGTGATGCTACTGCTTGACTTTTCAAATCATAGTAGGTGAAATGAGATTAGAATTTACTTGATATTGATTGGAAGCTGAGGGATTTATAATAACTAAATCACCATCGCTCCACAAAATGTATTAATCACATTTATGTGGTTAACTAATGATAATATTCAATGTGATAATGTTTTTTTTCTTTTAATTATCTAAGCAATGTTGACTACTTACAGGCAAAGCCAGTTACATGTTGTTCTTAATTGATTGATTGATCAGTAGAGTTAATTTAGTCACACAATATTTCCTAATATATCATTCAAAAGCAGCGAATAGAACCTCGTCGAAATATTTTATCGTAAATATGTTAACCGAAAGAAAAACATGTATACACAATACTGTGTTTTAAATTCCCACTCCCTATTCACATCTTTTCCATTATTTGACATAGTCTGGATGGCTATGAACAAACAAACTTAGTATTTACAATTGCTCGACCACTGAGTAGTGACTGATGTTACTTATTTCAAGTCCGTTTCAGTGCTGATCAAATCCTATCAATCAAGTTACAATCTGGACACTAATCTGAATGACTCGATTGTTTCATTGTTCTGCATTATTCCATTCACGCGGTGGGGTTAGACAGGGTTGTCTAACCTCACCATCCCTCCTCAACTTTGCCATCGATGATATTCTGGAAACAGCTCTGATGAATGTAAGTAATGGCGGTTTGGATCTGTTGCCTGGAGAAAGACTTCTCGACCTTGAGTATGCGGATGATATTGTCTTACTGTGCGATAATGCCCAAGCCATGCAATCCGCACTTAATCAGTTGGCAATCAGTGTCCGTAGGTATGGTATGTGCTTTGCACCTTTGAAGTGCAAAGTACTTCTACAAGACTGGCAGGATTCTAATCCTGCACTCACCCTGGATGGTGAGCAGATAGAAGTAGTCGAGAAGTTCGTGTATCTGGGTAGCTGCATAAGTGCTGGTGGTGGCGTGAGTGTTGAGATCAATGCACGTATAGTGAAAGCCAGAGCGGCTTATGCCAATCTGAGCCATCTTTGGCTCCTTCGTGATGTTAGTCTGACTGTAAAAGTTCGGATCTACAACGTGTCGGTGAGAGCAGTTCTGCTCTATGCTTATGACACCTGGTCTCTCCGAGTTGAGGATGTTAGACGACTCTCTGTGTTTGATCATCGTTGTCTCCGAAGAATTGCTGGCATCCAGTGGCAACACCATGTTAGTAATGCAGAGGTTCGGCATCGTGTGTTCGGGCACAGAGACAATAATGCAATTGGTGTCACCATCTTGAAAGACCGACTTCGGTGGCTTGGACATGTTCTACGAATGTCGTCCCAGAGAATTCCACGTCGTGCATTATTTGTCGACGCTGGGACTGGTTGGAAGAGGTGGAGAGGTGGTCAGTGCATGACATGGTGTCGTGGTATGAAAGAAAGCTGTAAAGGTCTGGCTTCTGTTGGTCCTTCTCGACTTTCTGGCTGGGGTCCGAGAGATGGTGCAATACAGTGGCTAGAGACGTTATCTGATATGGCTCAGAATAGAAGCCAGTGGCGATCCTGCTGTGATCTTCTTTTACTTACTTCGTAAAAAGTGGTTGTAACTTCCTTAACTGAAAGACTTCTTCTGGTTGTTCCTTCCTGTTTCCCCCATTCTTATTATTATTTCACTATCATACACTAATCTGTAGTCGTTATTGTTCTTTTCTTTACGCTCCTTACCCTCTTGTTTTTCTCTTCCCATTCTCATTGTTTTGTGTGACGCCCTTGTACCAATATTTATGTGTTTAAACTAAATAATAAATAATCCATTTCATCATTTCTTATATTTCAAATCCTTCATTAACATGCTAATGTTTCTATAAAATTGTTTATAAGTGTGATTTTGTATGTAACATGTGTCAAGTCTTTTAAGTTATCAGTCAAGAACAGTTTTCATTTTAGATAGAAAAAGCCTATTCTACTAGGGTAATTATCTTGTCTTCTTATATCAACTCGTTTTAGGGTTTTAGTCAACAATTTTATGTTTTTAGTAATCAATACTCGGTCATATTACACCATTGCATTTCACTATGCCGACCGATATTCTATTTCAATTTATTTTCACGATGTTAAACTTCGCTTGTTCATCGAACTGTCCTCTATGATAAATTTGTGGGTAATTGGAATGAGCAAGTATGTGTGTGTGACTAGAAAACTTCTACCCACTTTATGTCTAGTACGCACCCCAAATATTTCCTGTTATTTCATTGCTTCTCCTTTGTTTCCCAATTCGTTTTTTTCTCTATTCTAATTCAGTACCATGTTCGTGGTCATCAAGGTGTACATGGTAATGAAGAAGCAGATTCGTTGGCTAATATTGGTTCTAGTAAACCATTACCAAAGAAATAAACAAACGAGCAAACGCGCGCGAGAGAAATCGTTCAATTTTTTGTTGTACATAGTGAAAAACAAGGGAGATCTATTCATGTTTAATAAATCTATGCATAAATCATATACCACACTAATCTTTTGTTTTGATTTTTCTATCTCACCCTCTGTTTGTTTTGTGAGTTTTCGTCTGGTCCTTTTTTATTTATATTATTGATTGTGAATCAAATCTATTCTTGTCATGTGATATGACTAGTTGGTTCATTCATTGAGTTCTGTTATTGTGAAATATGTATTTATTTATTTATTTATTCATTCACCCATTTACCATGTATAGAATATAGTTAACTTTGAGTTATATTCTAAGTGTGTGGGGCTATTGATACTAACTCTGGTTGATAAAAAGCAAAATGTGTTGTGGTTGGGTTCTGCATTAATCGCTGGACAACCGTTAAGCTTGTCTTGTGCTGATAGAATTCTATCGATGAAGACGCTATGTGTGCCAGTCACTAGCAATAGTCTAAGTGACTGGGTATCGTTCGCGTTATGTGTAGAATTTAGGCGGTTCAGTGGTTCGTACTGGTTGTCTCTTGTCCATAAGTCCCATCTACAATTCTGTGTCAACTAATACTCCTTGTGAAGTTCGAACCCGACGAGATCAAGTTCTATAATGTGAGACGTCAATACTGTGCTATTCAGGCTGCGATTGAGATATGCACGTTGACTGATCACTGAGAAGTGGTCATTGTTATGTTCTCTATTGTCCTGTTATGGCCGAGAGTGTGGTGGACCCGCCCTTTCTCTCGAAATGCTCTCACATGGCCAAGCGTACACAACCTCTGCCAGGTAAGTCCTACTCACTGCTTTATCACACCAGGGGTGTTGTTTACGAAAATGAGAGGACGAAAAGCGAATGTCCGGCGCTTTAACCGGATCCCAAACCAATGGTGGACATGGGCTCCAGGATCCTGAGGGAACAAATGGCGCATGAACCAATTGTTGGTCACCGGCTACCATGGGACTGCACCTCCTCACGATGCTCCACTGCCTTGTGGATCAGACCTTTAGGTCAAAGGCTCGGGGTGTGGCCCTCTAAGAAAACCACCTACTTCGGTTTGGGCACCCGAGCAGTATCACAGCCCTCACACAAATATGATGAACTATCGATAATTATGGGAAATACTTTTCTTGCTTCGAATAATAATCAAACGATTCACATTATTATTATTATTATTATTATTATTATTATTATTATTATTATTTACTACGTCATTTATTCACTCTCTTTTATTCCCAGTCTGTCTATCCTTACTTTTCGACTTATACAGAAGCTCACCTATGGTGGAAATTCGGTTCTATCTAGACGTTCTCGAGTCACTGCCTGGTTGAAAATTGTATGCTACCACCAAATACGAATACTGAAGCAGTTTTTCTGAAACCACGTGCACCATTCAAACTGGCTGCCTTCAACGTTCGCACATTTATGCAGGTCGGACAACAGATAGGGCTGACTACGTCTTTGGAAAGTCTTAATATCGATGATTGCTGTCTATCCGAGACCCGTATTCAAGACTCTGGTGAAGTACTACAAATTCGCTCTACATCTGTCGCTTCAAAATGGTTGGTTTATGTGTGTTTATTCGGGGACCGTGTGGCATCTTCGTCTGGTCTTGCTGGCGTTGGTGTCACACTAAACGCTAGAGCTGAGGCAGCACTAATAGATTGGACCCCCATTAACACTCGGTTATGTGCTGTTAGATTAGAAAGTTCTATCAAAGTGAGAAGAAATCGGCGGGAGAAACGATGTCCCTTCGTCATCTCCACGTATGCCTCGACAAATTGCAGCTCGGATGCAATCAACGATGAATTCCACCACCAATTATCTGTTCTTCTGCAGAAAGTGCGTTCGACAGATATTGTAGTACTAGGCGGAGACTTGAATGCTCAGGTCGGGCGTCTAGGCACAGAAGAGACTCGTTTAGGTGGTTGATGGGAACTTGTTGGTCGCAGGACAGATAACGGGGACCGTCTACTGCAACTGTGCATAGACCACAACATATTTCTGGCTAGCACTAACTTTCGGCACAGTCATCGCCGATCTGCCACATGGCGTCCTCCCTCTGCATCTCTAGCCTGGACTCAGATTGATCACATCGCGATCAGCTACCGCTGGCGTGGTTGTGTACAAGACTGCCGCTCCTTTTGGAGTACCTATCTGGACTCTGACCATGCCTTGGTCTGTGCCAATCTTACCTTACTTTTCAGTGGCCAACGAAGTGACCACCACCAACGGATTGATGTCAGCAAGTTGGTTGCAACTCCTGTTGCTAGTAAATATTGAACCGAGCTAGCTTCTAGGCTGGCTACCACTCCACCGAAAAGTATAGATGAGCATTGGTTGCTATTGCATGACGCCATGAAAATGGCGGGAACAGTCAGTTGTGGGTTTGCGAAACGTCCCGCTTTTAAGCACTGGGTTTCTTCTGGTTCCTTACAACTCATTGAAGCCCGTCCGTCTACTCCGGGTGACCGTGAGTTTGACCACAAACGAATGATGTTACATAATGAAATCGGGCAAAGCTTGCGTAAGGACCGAGAAGCCTGGTGGTCGAAGCGTGCTAAGGAGCTGGAAGCAGCAGCTGCATCTGGTAACTACCGGAAGCTCTTCCAACTCATCCGACTTTCTGACTAAGGAACTGACGACGTTGTTTACAAGGGTCTGGGAGCTAGAGAGTGTACCAACGTCATGGAATGAGTCGATAGTTGTCCCTATCTTTAAAAAGGGTTCACGTCGTTCCTGTAACAACTATCGGGGGATAAGTCTACTTCCGATTGCGTCCAAGCTATTGGCTTCCGTCATACTTCGTAGGTTGTTCAAAACCCGAGAAAGATTGACTCGCGAGGAGCAGGCTGGGTTTCGTTCTGGTCGAGGATGTATTGATCATATCTTCACCCTCCGCCAACACCGCCATACTTATCAAAGGCCAACAATCGTAGTGTTTCTTGACATCAGGGCTGCCTTCGATTCGTTGGACAGGACTGTTCTCTGGGATTGTCTATTGAAGAAGGGTGTGCCTGAGAAGTTTATTAACATCCTAAAAGCCCTATATAAAACACCTCAGGCAGAGTGAGGGCATACAACCACCTCTCTCCATTGTTCCATTCGAGCAGTGGGGTTAGGCAGGGTTGCCCAATCTCACCATTCCTCTTCAACTTTGCCATCGATGACATTCTGGAAACAGCTCTGATGAATGTAAGTAATGGTGGTGTGGATCTGTTGCCTGGAGAAAGACTTCTCGACCTTGAGTATGCGGACGATATTGTCTTACTGTGCGATAATGCCCAAGGCATGCAATCCGCACTTAATCAGTTGGCAATCAGTGTCCGTAGGTATGGTATGTGCTTTGCACCTTCGAAGTGCAAAGTACTTCTACAAGACTGGCAGGATTCTAATCCTGTACTCACCCTGGATGGTGAGCAGATAGACGTAGTCGAGAAGTTCGTGTATCTGGGTAGCTGCATAAGTGCTGGTGGGGGGTGAGTGATGAGATCAATGCACGTATAGTGAAAGCCAGAGCGGCTTATGCCAATCTGGGCCACCTTTGGCGCCTTCGTGATGTTAGTCTGGCTGTAAAAGGTCGGATCTACAACGCGTCGGTGAGAGCAGTTTTGCTCTATGCTTGTGAAACCTGGCCTCTCCGAGTTGAGGACGTTAGACGACTCTCTGTGTTCGATCATCGCTGTCTCCGAAGGATTGCTGACATCAGTGGCAACACCATGTCAGTAATGCAGAGGTTCGGCATCGTGTGTTCGGGCACAGAGATGATAATCAATTGGTGTCACCATCTTGAAACACCGACTTCGGTGGCTTGGACATGTTCTACGAATGTCGTCCCAGAGAATTCCACGTCGTGCATTATTTGCCGACTCTGGGACTGGTTGGAAGAGGCGGAGAGGTGGTCAGTGCATGACATGGTGTCGTGGTATGAAAGAAAGCTGCAAAGGACTGGCTTCTGTTGGTCCTTCACGACTCCCTGGTTGGGGTCCGAGAGATGGTGCTACACAGTGGCTAGAGACGTTATCAGATATGGCTCAGAATAGAAGCCAGTGGCGATCCTGCTGTGATCTTCTTTTACTTACTTCGTAAAAAGTGGTTGTAACTTCCTTAACTGAAAGACTTCTTCTGGTTGTTCCTTCCTGTTTCCCCCATTCTTATTATTATTTCACTATCATACACTAATCTGTAGTCGTTATTGTTCTTTTCTTTACGCTCCTTACCCTCTTGTTTTTCTCTTCCCATTCTCATTGTTTTGTGTGGCGCATATATATTTGCTGCCCTCTTATACCAGTATTTATGTGTTCAAATAAATAAATTAGTCTTAAAAGTCAATATCTGTTAAAGTACAGTATTTACAGTCATTATCATACAAAGGGGATGTAAAATCAGTCGCGATACCCATGGTCTATAAATTTAACGTGTGAATTCTATTCAAATTATCAGAGTTTTGTAGCATGTTATACATTGTAGATGTTGCTGTGAAATAAATAACGATCGTCTAATAAGAAGATGCAGTTCTGATAGTCTTTGCTTTCTTATTACATTATCAAAATTAATATCTCTTGAAAACTACTTGGCCCTGGTATTGCCAAGAGTGGCGAGAGTCCGCTCTCTACGGATGTTCTCACATGTCCACGTGCATACAATCACTGACAGGCAAGTCATACCCACTGCCTTCTCAAACCAGGGGTGTTGTTTACGAAATTGAGGGCACGGAAAGCGAATGTCCGGCGTTTTAACGGGGTTGGTGGATATGGAGGATCCACCTGGGGGAGTTGGGAAACCCTGATTTCAAACCAATGGTGGACATGGGCTCCAGGATTCTGAAGGAACAAATGGCGCATGAACCAATTGCTGGTCACTGGCTACCATGGGACTGCGTCTCCTGACGATGTTCCAGTGCCTTTTGGATTAGATCTATAGGTCGAAGGCTCCGAGTGTGGCCCCCTAAGAAAAGCACCTGCTTCGGTTTGGACACTCGGGCAATATCTTAGCTCACATACAAATCAAGTGACTTGCGTGTTGCTCCTTGTACCAATGTTTATGTGTTCAAATCAATAAATCAATTCGTTTCACAGATATAAATTTGACCGGAGTGCACTTCAGCGTAGCAAACTCGTCACTTAATTGACATATTGATATCTCATATGTTCTACAAGTAACGCCAGTTGACCAAAAGCAATTGAGTTGTCGGGATTTCATCAAATATCAACCCACCAGGGCTGACGAGACTTCCAAGATAAGTGCACGCTTAACTAGGTGACTTCCAATAGCTTTACTGATACTTTCCCTTTTTTTTTGTTAACCATTTATAGATGTCACAAATGTTGACAATCGATATAAAGCCAACCAAATCGTTTTCCTGGCCAGAAACCAGGTACAAGTGGTTTACGTAAACCAACAAAAACATTTATGCAACATGGGTACACTGAGAACTTCATACAATCGATTTTAAATGCAGCTGTTGGTGAATTGTTGAACAAATCTCAACCAGTTCGACTTCTTTTAGGTGGAGACGGTCGGTATTTTGTACGAGAATCATTACAAAGTATCATTATCCCAATATGTTTAGCTAATGGGGTGTGTTTCCATTTTTTAAAATAAAAATTGTTTGTTTATTGAAGTTTCGTGGGGTTCGGTTTAATTTCCAGGTTGAATTATCTGTCCCGTCGTGCTAATTAAGTATGGAAACTTGGGTCGATGCACGTTTGCACCAGGTTCTATGTTGATGATGTTAGTCTGTTTTAACAGACTGATCTCTTTTGTGATTCCATTAAGAATCCGATGGGCACTGGAAAGCTCCTTCCTCCCAGTACGGGGTTTCACCTTGACAATACCTGGTATTTACAACCCCATCAGGGATCGAACCCAGTACCTTCGAGTCTTGCGACAAATGCTCACCTATTAGGACTACTAGTGACTTCGAGATGTTTCTGAGGTCCCAGGAAGTAGCCGTGACTGGTAGAGTTCAGACACAACTGGAATGAAACTGATGCCAACAACTGTATTGATTGTCCATCTTGTTGATCGAAATTGAAGTTTTCTCATTGAACAACTACCCACTAATCGAATGGTCAAGTGTCTTTGGGATCAATCCCTAATGGGATTGTGAATGCACACTACTGCTGTAGAGTTCTGTACTAAGGTGAAACGGTTGTACAGGGCTTCCTAGTTGTCAGTGATTTTCTTAGGTCGGTCTTTGTGATATAATAGGACAAATAGTGAGGAAGTTTAACTCGTGGGACCATCATACAAAGATCATTACTTATGCTTTTTTTGTTGTATAATTAGTAGACGCTTGTGTTGTTATATTTTTATATTCTCCTATTTCTAAGCTTTCGTTTAATCTATAAATCATTATCATATGTCTTATTGCTTCAAATTTATCACCGTAAAGTGCTTAAGTCCTATTGTTGGATGGCACTACATATATGGGATTAAGTATTTATGACCTTGAAGAAATGAACACCTTTTAGCAAGGTAATCGTAGACTTTTCTGCTAAGTTATTATAATTTTTGATAAATGGAATTGAATAAGTAAATTTATCTCTCTTTATTTCGAATTCTAATATCAATCATATTCTGTCTGCTCATGATGAACCTACTAGTTTAGCCTTGGCTCTAAATTCACTAGTTTTGTATGTTCACTTGTAAATTGAGTAACCGCTTAGACTCATGACTAATAGATAATGCATAGTTTATTTCTCACTCTTTTCTTAGGTATCTGAATTGTTTGTTGGTCAAAATGGAATCCTGTCAACTCCAGCTGCATCATTCATAATTCGTAAGCATCAATTGAATGGTGGTATTCTTCTAACAGCTAGTCATAATCCTGGTGGACTAAATGCAGACTTTGGTATTAAGTACAATTGTGGGAATGGTGGACCAGCACCGGAGAAATTAACAGATGCTATTTTTGCACAAAGTGAAAAATTGACTTCTTATAAAACTGTTAAAGAATCATTAAATATTCAGTTGGACTGTATTGGTTCAACGAAATATACTTTATCCAATGGCCAAACTCCCATAGTAAGTAGTTAATTGTTTCATAGTAGACAATGCTATGTTTCAGACATTTTTGTGTAGTCGGTTTGTTTTGATCGACCGCTACCATAACTACTTTTTGGTAAATTTGGCTTCAGCGTGTTGTTAGACTCCTGTTTTATTTCTGCTAGTTGATTAGTTGATATAGTCATGTTTGATTCAATTTCACTATTATTCTATACGCGTTTTTTAATGAGAACTATTCATACCATTATAAATATTTCAAATTTGAACTACACTAACATTCAGTTCTGTTTTGATTAACAGACGTTTAGTTATTCTGTCAGTTCATTTATCTCTGAACTCCTTGGTGCTCCAACTTAGTAAGCAAGCGGAAGATATATGAATGAAACCTGGAATTTGTATATACTATTCAGTGGATTGGAGGATTACATTTTAGTTAACGGGTTCCAACTTCCAACCAATTAAATCGGAGGTTCGAGTTCTGTTCTTTAGTTAATTGGATACTAATCAACTATGGAGTAACACTAACTCCTACACAAAAGCTGAGTAAAACGTAAACATGCACTTGTTAAATAGGTTAAGTGAAAACAAACACTAAGCGTAGAAATAGTTTGTAGGTGTTATATTCCCTGAGCTGGATGGTTCAGTCGTGAAGGTTTCATTGTTTCTTTTAGACAACACCATCTAAAAGAGTAGTTAACCATTAGGATTTCTTCACAACTGGCTAACAGTTTGTTCTGTTTACCTAGGAGAATGTGGTTGGCTCTTGTCTCTTTATTGTATAGCCGTCGTTTACATGCTTATGTTGGTCGCTTTCACCCTTAACCTGACCTCTGACCTTGAAGTTGTCTATCCTTTTTCTTACTAATTGATAGATCGGGTCAATCTCGATGTACTGCTATTGATTGGTGCGTAATTAAAGTGTTAGACCCTTGGAAATCTGACTTTATTTATATTCCATCTGTTCGATATTTCGACGTTATCATATTTGGATTCCCATCCTTTTATTGTCTACATGCAAAATTATGTTGTAGTATTTTTTTTTGCTAGCTAGTATTCATGTAGACGGGATACGTGTGACGTTTTGAAGAAATAATGGGTTTTTCACCAGCTCGGTATACTCAACCCACTAAAATTTATATTTAACGTTGGAATGCATTAAATGTTTGCTAGGGGTTTTGAAAAAAAAAAGCAATTTTCCTTTAACAGTTTTCATAAATTTATTTGTCATAGCTTAAATCACGAACTGACCTATACCACCATTGAATACTAGAAAATCCTAGTACCAGCATACATCCATGACCCCGTATCCGGTAATCGAACCCAAAACCCTCAGTTCCACGTAATAACCCATAATCTGTAGACCACTGAACCAAGGTCCAGTGGTATACTTCAATCAATTCACAGTTTTACGACACTTATCCATTGTTTACGGTGGATAACTGCCTCACAGCCGGCATGGTTGAAACTCCACTAGTCATGGCTTCTCACGAAAACTCCAGGATATGTATGTTCAAGCTAATCCCTGGTAATTATCAACACTGTAGGTTTTTTTGAGATTATAGAATTTTTATACTTTCTGTATCACGAACTTATCTTAGCTAGACCACCATGCAAGGTTGAGGATGTGCACTGCTGGGAAGTCTCATACTAGGACAAAACGACCACCCACTGCCTCCAGATTTTCAATGGTGGTTTAACTAAGATCAGTTAATGCCCTGGTACGGCCGAGAGTGGGGAGAGTCCGCTCTCCCTCTCGAAATGCTCTTGCACGGCCACGCGTATATAGCCTCTGCCAGGGAAGTCCTACTCACTGCCTTATCACACCAGGGGTGTTGTTTACGAAAATGAGAGGACGAAAAGCGAATGTCCGGCGCTTTAACCAGATTCAAAACCAATGGTGGACATGGGCTCCAGTATCCTGTGGGAACAAATGGGAACCAATTGTTGGTCACCGGCTACCATGGGACTGCACCTCCTCACGATGCTCCACTGCCTTGTGGATCAGACCTTTAGGTCAAAGGCTCGGGGTGTGGCCCTCTAAGAAAACCACCTACTTCGGTTTGGGCACCCGAGCAGTATCACAGCCCTCACACATATCGAATGAGATTTGTGTGGCGCGTATGTATTTGGTGCTACTTTGTACCATTATCCATGTGTTGAAATTAATAATAATAATAATAATAATAATAATAATAATAATAAAGTTAATGATTTAAACTATGAAAATACTACAATCTCCACCAATTCCCCTATACTGAATATTTGTTCGGTTTGATCATTCCCCTATTAATATTTATGAATATATTTTAACATCAGTTAGATGCCTATTATTTTTGAAAGCAAACATTTTGTTTTATCTTATTCACGATAAGGTAACGATCATAAGCAGTGTTTCTGATTATGCCGATTACATGCGCACATTGTTCGATTTTGATGCTATTAAAACACTATTGACTGGTTCACATCAGCGTGAACCATTTAAATTGCTTGTCAGTGGTCTTAACGGAGGTGAGAGAATTTATTATTTATTATAATAATAATCACAATAATAACAATTATTATTATTACTGTTGCTAGGTGGCTTATTATTATTTCTTGTTTTTGTTGTTGTTAGATATTCGTCATCATAGACACTGTAGTGAGCTGGATAAAGAAAAAGATCACTGAACAAATGTCTTATCATGGTTTGTATCCATACATGAAGTTGGTATTTATGACGTTGTCTAAAGTGATAATAGAAGCCTTCCAACGTAACTATCTAGCTGAGAGTTTGTGAGACTCATTGGGGGTTTTCAAATATGACTTCCAATTGGATGAGATTCAAGGTCTTTGAATCTTACATAGAACACCAGTACGTTAGATCTTTAATGGTCTGCATAATCATGGCACTGGGGTGTATTTGTGTTTGTGTATGTGACAATAATTCGATGTCATCGGTAATTATCTGTCTCACGTTCCCCTACATGGTTGAACTCTCAATTAGTTATGTGGTCTCTTACCTAGAACTTCGGAAATGAGTCTCGATATCAATCAATAGTGAACACTTACAACTGTTGTTGGCTTGGTCTTTCGTTTTTTTAATGTGAGCTTATCAACAATGAAATCAGTGACTTAACTCTTTCTATTTTCATTATTTCGAGGAAACATTTTTCTGAGATTTATTTCATATTTGCGGTTTAATCATCAAAGGAATTGTAGTTTACGAAGAAACGTACCTAGCAATATCAAAGTTTCTAGATTATGCATAAATGTGTGTTTCCCATCAACTTTTCCGTGTCATAACGTCAGGGATTAAGTGTACTTAACTGAAAGTGACAGTTCTTGAAACTGTTATGATATTAAAATTTGGAGCAAATTATTTAACAGTGAGTACTTCACTTTTGCGTCAGTTGTGATTCATCAAGGTTTGTGTTTCACACCTTCCATGGTGTGAGCAGCCGGGAAGTGATAACTGCCTTCATACCTTTACTAGCACCCGAGGTCATCTTGTTGGCAATCAAGTACCTCCCTCACCTCTTAATAATTCTACCCCCACGAATAACTCTTCTCATTCATCATTATCACCATGCGCCACCAATGCTAATAATTTGAGTTCACGAAATGTTATCCCTGGTATCCTGAAACCACACTAAACTACATCTTCGAGCCGTTAATGTTCAAATCTTGTGTCAGATAGGACAGCAAACTTCTTTAGCTAGGACTCTAGAATCTCGCGCCACCAATGTCTGCTGAGTCTCCGAAACACACACGGGGTCGAAGTACATTCATTCTCTGACCTCACTTTGTCAATGTAAAGAACCAGCAAGTTTCACCTTTTGCGTATCTGAAATCCCCACTGCTACGTCAAGTGGTCTCACTAGTGCAGGTATAGCCTTAATTTTAAAAGCGGAGCAGGCTCTCCTAGACTGGATTTCAATAGACAGTCACTTGTGGGCTATCCTAGGAACTCAAAAAGATTAGGACAAACACCGTTGCCTCTTCGTTGTATCTGCTTATGCTCCCACTGATTGTAGCTCAGACGAAGTTGAAGGCGTTCGAATCTGTTAATCGTGAGGTTTTATGGCAGTGTCTGTCACCGAAAAGCGTAACAAAGAAGTACATTAACCTTGTACAGGCTACTTAAACACTTTTCGTCGAGTCAGAGCTTAATGTGAACTGTCATCGGAATTAGTTACTTCAAGTGGTGTTCGTTACGGTTGCCTGCTTTCTCTATTTTTATTTAACTTTGTCATAAACATACTCTTGGAGATAACACTTACATTGTCTTACTTTCAGGGGTTGATCTACCAGGAGATTCACTTGTTGACTTAGAATACACAGATGATATCGTTCTGTTTGTTGAAGACGCTGACAAAATGCAGACTATTCTGACCATCCTAAGTAACAATGCAAGCATGTTTGGGATGTGGTTCTCTCTCTCCCAATGCAAAATGTTGCTCCAAGATTGAATTGCGTCATCACCTGAATTAGTGATAGGGAGTGAGCCAGTTGAATAGATCATTCATTCATCATGGAATTCTCATCATCATTGATGGTCTGGTGTCTGACGAAATCCCGGAGTGGATTCAGAAGTTTCGGTTGGCTTTTACCAGCTTGAGTTACTTGTGGTGTAGGCAAGATATCCGTCTTCCGACCAAAGGGCGAGTTTATTGCGCAGCCGTTTGTTACGTCCTAATTAATGGATGTAAATTATGGCATTAAAAGTAGAGAATATTCATAGGTTACTAGTATTTGATCACAGGTGTCTAAGAAGCATTGCTCGTATATTTTCGGACCATGGAGTCAACAATCCCGGGGTTAGGAACAGGATAAGGTTGGTGGATCGATTGATGAGGTAGCAAATTCTCACCAACTGAGGTGGTTGGGAATCGTGTTACGCATGCCCAACCACTGCCCACCCCGACGGGCTTTTTTGATGCAGGAATAGGCTGGAAGAAAGCTGGGGGTTTTTTCGTCCTACGTCTGCAGCGTTTCTGGTCCGCATCCCTTACGAACGCAATCTTCAGATTCTGGATACAAACCACTCTGGTGTGACACGCCAATTCAAGCAACAAGTACAGCACACCGCCCCTGGTACCGTTCTCCGAAAAGAACTTCGTTGGCAACTCGACGATCAACGATCGCTTTCCTGTTCCGCCAATTCTTCCGTCCTACAAACGCTCGTCAGTCGATCAGTCCCACGATTTAAACCGCTATTTGTCGAAAGTGTAAACCCTTTCTAGCAGGGGGCTCCTGTAGTGACTCACTTTTATCACGAGAACACGACTGGTTTAATGAAAACAATCGATATTATAACCAACTGTACCAGTGCTTGTTTTAATGTGCTTTTGTTTAACTGTGCTAATTACAGCCATTTTGTGCTTCCATTACCTTCCATCATTGTTCCGCGGTTTTTGGCTTTGTTCGCACGTACTCCATTCTCCTGCTTTCGCTTGTACCATTTCTTGGCACGATTTTGGTATTCGTTCAATACCACGAGATCGCCAACGAAATAAATCTGGTTACGTTCAACCTTCACCTTCTGATTTTTTTGGCACGTGTTTCTTGTTAGCGGTGTTCATAGTCAATTGGGACTCGACGTGCCTTTAGAAACAAAACTTTTCTCATCTAAATTCCCAGGAGTCGAACTTTCACTGGAAGACTCACTTGTTGACTTAGAATATGCTGATGACATAGTTTTATTTGGCGAAGACGCTGACAAAATGCAGAGTCTTCTGACCACTCTAAGCAACAATGCAAGCATGTTCGGCATGCGATTCTCCCCTCGAAATGCAAAATGTTGCTTCAGGATTGGGTTGCATTGACACCCGAACTAATGATAGGGAGTGAAGTAGTTGAGCGTGTCGACCGCTTCACTTATCTTGGGAGTCTCATCAGCCCTTGTGGTCTGGTGTGTGTCGAAATCTCAGCACGGATACAGAAGGCTCGACTAGCTTTTACCAACTTGCGTCATTTATGGCGTACAATTAAAAGAGCTCTGGTCAAAGGGGGAGGTGAGGGTGTCCCGGAACAAGTGATTAATAAGTTCTTGATGTCTTACAGAGTTACCCCTAATCCGGCAGTACCAGAAGGAAAGTCTCCGGCCGAGTGTATGTTCGGAAGAAAAATCCGGACAGTTTTTAACAGTATGTTGCCGCCCAGAAAGACAAATAAACCCACGAATGAAAATCGTAAGGTCAATCGTAGCTTCCAGGTGGGTGAGAAGGTACTTGTCAGATCGTACCAAGGTAATAAGAAGTGGGAACCAGGTGTCATAGAACGTCGAATCGGAAATGTGTTGTACCTAGTCCGGAAAGATGTCGGGAAATGCATAAGACATATAAATCAAATGCAAAGAAATGATAGTACAGTGGTCACAGAAAACCGGCTTCCATTTCAATTGCTCGTAGATTCATCCCCGAAGAACCATCATGAGCGCAAATATCGAAAAGACAAACGACGCAGAGAGAAAGCTGTACAACCCTCGAGAGTAATGGAGCGCAAGAGGAATGCGACACCCAAGCTTCAGGTGGATCCAAGAAAAAAATCTTACACAACGGACTTTAAAGGGGGGAGGTGTGACGACGGACCACCGGTGAACTCGAGGAAGCTGTAAGAGGCTCATAAGGAGCCGAAGACGTTCCATCCAATCACCTGTCGGAAGAATGTTCTAGAATTCCAACGTGTAGCTTCCCCATTGGATAATGCTAATAACCCTCTGTACGCGGATTGGAAGATTGTAATGATGATTTCGTTCCCACTAAAAACTATAAATACCTGATAATTTTGTACTATGTTTGACACTGTTTGGAATAATATTCCTTTCGTTAGTCTTCTGTCTTCTTATTGCGACTTGGAAGGGTTTGGTGTTCCAGTGCTCAGTTATACGCGGTTGTATCAAGAAAATCAGCTTTTTCAAGATATAACAGCGAGATATCCGTCTATCAACCAAAGGACGTGTTTACTGCGCAGCAGTTCGTTTCGTCCTACTTTATGGCAGTGAAACATGGCCGGTAAGAGTAGAGGATATCCGTAGGTTACTAGTATTTGATTATACGTGCCTTCGAAATATTGCTCGTATATCCTGGGACCATCGAGTAAGTAATGCAGTTGTTAGGAAACGGGCACTAGGTAAGGATAGCAAATCAATTGATGAAGTAGTGAAACATCATCAGTTGAGATGGCTGGGACATGTGTCACGTATGCCCAACGACCGACTGCCTCGACGTGCGATGTTCAGTGGTATAGGAGTAGGCTAGAAGAAAGCTAGGGGCGGCCAGACCAAAACATGGCACAAGTCCATGAAGTCACTGACAAGTAGACTGAGTCATGTTGGTAGGTATAGACTACCTGGTTGGGGACCGCGAGATGATAGCAACCGATGGTTAGAGACCTTGAATGACATGGCTCATAATCGTTTGCAATGGCGCAGGTGCATCCACTCTTTGTGTTCTCCCAAATTCTAATCTTGTGAATTCTTCATGTCCTGTTTTCTCTTTCCAAATTTATTTCACTGGACTATACTCCTT